AAATTTATATTTATTAATAAAATTAATAAATCAATTTTTATTATATGTTTATTTAATTTATTATTATTATCGTACAAATTTATAAATAATTATATATAATATAAATAAAAGTGATTTTTAAGTTTGAAATTCATCTTTTCTTCCTTTTTATTCGGAAAACGTTATATAATTTCACTTTATATTTACAACTATGGCTATTTCACCAATGACGGTAATTAGACTTTTTCGATAATTGACGACACGGATAATTAGCCTGTTACGGGAATCAAATTCGTACCGCTTTAGAGGAACAGCTCAAAAATAAAAAACAATACAAACATAACAATATTTTTATTACTACACTGGTAATGTTAACAGGCGGATATTTTGAAGTAAATTTTGAATTGAGTCTATAAATGTATAATTTCTGTGTAAAATATTCTGTTTCAAAATTACAGAAATGCCAACATCGCATTTTACCAAACTATTTTTTTTAAATAATGTTGATAAAGATGTAAAGTAAGTAAACTATAAATTACATTAGTTATTAATTTTTTGAAGTGCATTAACAATTTATAACAACTAATTTTGAGAGAAAATGCGGTGTTGCTATTTCTATTGAATTGGAATAGATATTAAATATGTATAAAACAACTGGATTTTAAAGTAGACCTAGAGATAATGGTTTATTACAACTTTTTAAAATTGTCGTTCCGCAATATGTTTTTTGGTATCTACACCCTTATTAAACTGATCTAAAAGCTTGAAATGGAATCAATAAGATCGGTTGTTGTTATAATAGAGGTTGACAATAATGGTGTTGTGTGGTTGAACCGCTATAAAAATTAGTTAAGTTAAATATTGGATTTAGTTGTAAACACGGTGTTTCTCTAGATCTACTTTAGTGATATATTTAAGCTAAAAGGCTTTACAATTTGCTACATAAAAACGTTGTGAAAAGTGACAGAGCTGGTGATAAAAAAGTTTTAAGGTGTATTAATGAAATTTACAAAATTTAAGCATAGAAATCTGAAGTTGACTAAAAGACAATTAGTATTAAACTAACAATTGAATTAAATTAGACTAAATATTACAATACTAAGTTGGGGCTACAAAGTAAAAACTAATATCTAAAATTACAATTGTTTTTGAGTTTTTAAATCATATGTTGAGTCCGTTGATGGTTCATGGATTTGTTGATGCAGTCATTAATAACTACCTATCTAAAAATGTAAAAAATATAAAACCAAGTTCAAAATTATTCTTTATCTCACCTTTCACAATCAAACTGCAATTATATATATTTTTATATACTGTTGCTTAAATAGTTGTATAATAAATGTGTTTTACTTTTAGTTTTGAAGGTTTGTCACTGCTTTTATATTGTTTTTATATACTATTTGAAAATTGGTGATCATCTAAAATAAAGTTGATATTAATTTTATTGGAAAGCAAAATTGTCATACCTACTTTTTTTTACAAAAATTAATTGATGGCAACTGGTGGAGACAAAATAAAGAATTTTATTGAATCAAACTGTGCTAATGGAAGTTAGAAAATAGTTAAAGGTTGTCATTGAGTTGTTAAACAAACATGTTTAATTTGGCTGTTCCACTTCTTAAACGTCACATGTTTTCTATTGATGTTGATGCAGATCTATTGATCAAATCTATTGACAAATAGAAAATTTCAAAAATTTATCTGAAACAAAATCGATATTAGATTTATTGTAAGTAAAAGTTTTTGTATACTTTTTAATGTAAATGATTTTTTTTCCAAAAAATAATTGATGGCAACAAACTGGGTCATGGAAAAATGGAGAATTTCCTTTATTTAAATTGTAGTAATTCTTCTTAGAAAGTAGTTAAAGTTGGTGTCATATTGTTGTTTTTTAAAAGGTTTATCTTCAAAGTTTGTTAAACATTTTTTATTAATTTGTTGGTTTAATGTTTAACAATACACACATTATTTGTTTATTCACTTAAGACGACGGTTCTACAATATGTATAAGTATTGTCAAAATTATTTTTTTTCTCACCTTTTGGTATCAAATTACAGCTATTATAATTTTATACATGGTACTTTAAATGGTTATTACAAAATTAACCTAACAAAGTTGTTTAACCATTTGAATTCCTAAAATTACAGATTATTTTAAATATAAGCTAAGATATTTTAAATACTAGTCCTGTCAAATTAGTCATAAAAATAGTGGTCAAATAACGAAAATTCCGACAGAGCTAAATTTTGGTGGAGACCTTGGGTATACCATTAGAAATAAAGTGTCAAAAGTCCCCATCGATCCCATGTGTGCTAAAAAAGTTATTCGGGGTCAAAGGTCAATATTTGACGTTTTTTAGATTTTCTTCGAAAACGGCAAGTTTTATCAAAAAAGTAGCTCAGACGAAAATTATAGATCTTAAAATTATCTACAAAATGGT